CTAATGTGATGCTAATTTTAAAAAAAAGGGCCTCAGAGGTGACTCCAGCCATTTTAGGCTGGTAAATCTGTCTTCGGCACAGGGCAAATTGGTTGAAGCCATCTATAGTAAAGAATAAAATTGTCAAACACGCATGCAGAAGAACATACATTTGAAGGCAAGATGGTTTCTGTAAAGGGAAGTCATGCCTCATCAATCTACTAGAATTCTTTGAGAGGGGCCAACAAGCATGTGGCCAATGGGGATCCAGTTAACCTAGTGTACTTAGATTTCCAGAAAGCCTTTGACAAGGTCCCTCACCAAATGCTCTTCAGCAAAGTAAGTTGTCATGGGATAAGAAGGAAGGTCCTCTCATGGGTCGGTAATTGGTTAAAAGATAGGAAACAAAGGGAAGGACTAAATGGTCAGTTTTCAGACTTGAGATGGGCAGTGTGGTGTCCTCTAGGGGTCTGTACTGGGACCAGTCCTATTCCACATATTCACAAATGATCTGGAGAATGGGGTAAACAATGAGGTGACAAAATTTGCAGATGACATATACTACTCAAGATAGGTAAATCTACAGCAGACCGTGAAGAGCTACAAACAGATCTCTCAGAACTGAGTGATTGGGCAAAAAATGGCAGATGAAGTATAGTGTTGATCAATGCAAAGTAATGCATATTGGAAAACATTATCCCAGCAATACATACATATAAAATGATAGGATCTAAATGAGCTGTTCTCACTCAAAGATCTTGGAGTCATGGTGGATAGTTCTCTGAAAACAGCCACTTAATGTGCAACAACAATCAAAAAAGCAAACGGAATATTGGGAATCACTAAGAAAGGAATAGATAAGAAGACAGAGAATATTTTATTGTCTCTATATAAATCCATGATACGCTTATATCCCGAACACTGCAGATATGGTTGCCCCATCTCAAAAATGATATCTTGGAATTAGAAAAGGTTCAGGAAAGGGCAACAAAAACTATTAGGGATATGGAATGGCTGCCATATGATTAATAAGACTGGGACTTTTCAGCTTGAAAAGCGATGACTAAAGAGGGGATGAGAGAGGTCTATAAAATCCTGACCGGTGTGGAGAAAGTAAATAAGGAAGTGTTGTTTAATCTCTCATAACTTGAGAATTAGGGATTACCAAATGAAATGAAAAGCAGCAGGTTTAAAACAAACACAAGGAAGTACTTGACACAGTGCATAGTCAACCTGTGGAACTCCTTGCCAGAGGATGTTGTGAAGTCCAAGACTATAACAGGGTTCAAAAAAAGAGCTAGATAAATTCATGGAGGATCGGTCCATCAATGGTTATTAGTGACAACGGGCAGAGATGGTTTCTCTAGTCCCTGTCAGGTGTTGGAAATGGGTGAGAAGGGAGGGATCAGTTGATGATTACTTGTTCTGTTCATTCCCTCTAGGGCAGCTGGCATTAGCTACTGTAGAAAACAGGATATTGGGCTAGATGGACCATTGGTCTGACCCAGTCTGGCTGTTTCTACATTATGGTTTGGTTTTTGAAGCAATTTAAAGTGGTAGAGATAAACTCCCCAAACTGTAGTTTACACTGGAAATGCCAGATTTCTTACCTGTGCGTCTGCATTATCTCCTATAACACACTTCTTGCACCTTTGGGTTACATTTTATTGTTCAAATAGTACAAGAAACTGGATGAAAACTGCATTGGCAAGCCCACACCAAATGAATAGTGGCTGCAATTCAGTCCAGAAAATTTGTTTTAAGTGTTACTTCATGAACGATCATGGTTTCTAAACTTTATCATAACGCCACCTTCCAGAAGGTCTCCTCCAATACCGGACACTAATGAAACTGCAGTGACACTTACAGAAGTGGTTGTAAGCGTCTGTATTAAGTCAGCCTGTATCTGAAACACCTGACCTCCAGTGTTCCCGCTAATGTTTCATGTCCACATGTGGAATGACTTTTGCCATGTGCACCACTCTGGAGGTGATGTGTCACATAAAAGTAATTCCACACACAGACAGTGTATGGTGGAGGTGGGGCCAGAAACCCTAAATGGGGGCTCCAGGTGTGGGATGGGGCTCCGACAGTGGGAGCGTGGGAGGGGGTGAAGGCTCTGGGTGGGGGCGTGGTCTCTGGAGTGGGGATGAGGGTTTTGGGGTGCAGGAGGTGGCTCAGGGTGGGGCAGAGGGGTGGGGCTTATCTGGGCAGCTCTTGGTTAGCAGAGCTGAGCTGAGGCTGTGCCCCAGAAGCAGCCTGCAGGTCCAACTCCCAGGAGGGGGTGGGAGATGAAGCTTGCTGCTGTGGCTCACAAGCACCGCCTCTCAGCCCCCACTGGCTGGGGGCCAAGGCTGAGGTGGGGGCAGGGGGGGGGAG